TGCTTTCCCTAATAAGTCTGATTCTTGGGATTTTATTTTTATTCTTGGAGTTTTACCAGGTTTATATCCAATTATGTTTTTGTTAATGTTTCAGCTGTTGTATTTCCTCTGCTTTCTTCAGTCTCTGAGGTGCACCTCTTGTACCACTGTTAAAATGTCATGTACAAAATTAAAGATATTATTTCTGTCTTTTTGGAATTAATTTTTAAGAGTGAACATTAGAAATAATCTGTATCTTAAATTAGTCGTTTGTGTTTAAAGTACCTCCGTTCCCCTAAACTGTAATGAGACTACGGGTCTAATCTTTCTTCCTAACTTGGAAACTGTCAGCCAGCCTTTCAGCCATGGAAGTGGTCCCTTTTAAAAAGCTTGTTAGTTAGTGACATCTTCTGTAATACAGATACTTTCTACAGTACAGAAAAAAATAGCATTGGCTTTCAGATTTTGTTTATTTTAAGGAATCAAATCCTCCAGAAGATAAACAAAACCTGTAAATGTATGACTCCTGTGTGTGAATTCTTTTTTCCTTTCATAGAAACAGATGCGTGACCAAAATATCGCAGTTTTTTATTATATTTCCTGACTTTACCTTATGTTAAAATATGCCCACATTTCATATTCTCTAAAGAAAAGTGATACTCTCCCTGAGTCTCAGCTCTGTGCATAACTAAACTGAGTTTGTCTGATGCAGTAAAAGTTGCTTTGGTAGAACAGAAAATCACCGGTTTTTTTCATCCTCAATGCAGAGAGGAAAGCAACAGGAAATTATTTGTAAAAACAAATTCAACAAAAAATTCCAGCATAAACAGTATAGAGGTCATATATTAAATGATGTCCAACATTCTACTTGTTTGTCCTCTATCAAATTGCATTAGTTCTAAGGTGTAATTCCCCCCTACTATTCTATGTAATGTTTTCCACTCAATGTGTCTTTTCCTTTCTTCTGGTTTCCATTAGTTCACTTTGAGCAATTCAGATCATTCTCTGAACAAGCTAATTCTTTCTTATGGGAATTAAGTTATACAGTATTGTTTCTTTGGTATTTGAATACGCATCTGAAATACTTGAGTGCTGAGTACCACGTGTGGTGTTTTTCAGAACAACTGCCAAGTTACACATACTTACTCCTTAAGAATATTTTGAGTCAAAACACTAGGTATTTAGAGTTTGGCACTCTGAATATTCAGTAGATGTTACTTTTGCTGTGAAATTAATTAGCTTGAATAGACTGAGTTGTGCAAATGGAAACACCATCCATGTACCAGTTAAATGTTAGTGTAAATGAAGAATAATGGTGGTATTTTGTAATAAATACAGCATAGATTTTAACACTCCTTCCTTACTTCCCTGTAGTGTTTTCCACGTGTTCATCTTGAACATAGCAATTGTAGGAGCTGGAGTAGCAATGGCAAGATTTTATCCAAATATAGGAGGTATCATAAGGTGAGTGGTACTTGCACAGTGAACTTGCCTGTGATGTTGCTGCATGTTTACCTCTTGATATTAAAAAGGAACAGTATGAGTGCAGGTAATTGTATCTTTATATTTTGTGAGGCTTATACCTTTTTAAGTTGTAAATAATGATTTAGAGATATAAACAACCAGCTCTTTTAAAGTTCTGACAAGCCACTATCTGTAATTGTGCCTCTGTATCCAAGGTGATTGGGATGATTCCCCAAGATTCATTGGAGCTGTATCTGAGGACCTTCTAACTATACACATGAAAGCATATGGTGGCAGTAGAGAAGTTGCTTGGTTATTGTGTGGCTTCTCTCAAGTTTTTGTTTTGTGTTAAGACCATTTGAAGCCATTTTGAAAGTCCATGATGAAAATAAAAGAAAGCAAGTAACTTTAAAGGGAAAAGTGACATAAAAGTTGTCCTTCTAAGTTATATCTTAAATTTACCATGTTAACAAACACCTAGAATTTCTCTAATTGAGAAAGAGGAAATAATCTAATGAGTTTTATTTTCTACATTTTACAACACCGTGTTTGTAATCATTGTCATTTATTCATAGTTTGCATCTTTCCTACAGCAACCAGGAGAGGGAAGTGTTTAAAAATATAGAAATCTGCAATTATAAAACCAGAATGACAGGCTTGGGTCTGACTGGAGTAGCAAAATAACTTACTTGTGTTCAGTGGCTGATCTTTGAGGTTTTTTTCCATTTCCTTTTTTTATTGCCTCTCCTTTTAGTGAAAATTTTTGTATTCCAGTAATAGAGGTGATGTAGTTATTAATTCCAAATAAATATCTTGCCATACATTTCTCTGTTTGCTAACTGGTCCTGAACTCTGCTAATGTGTTCATACTATGCATAGTAACCAAACATTTTGAACAGTGAATTTCCAGCTGATAAATTGTCTATATATAGTCTAAATTAAGTATTTGCTCTTTTCATGTATTATGATGTTTCCTCTGTCTAAAAGGAATGTTCAAATATTTGAAATAAAATATGCTGTTAGTTAATAATGCACATTTGGCTGCAGTATAGCTTAGTAGGTGGAAACTCACAGTAGGGGAAAATAATGAGAAGGGTTTGGTAAGCAGGGAGTGTTTAGAAAAAGAGCAGTTAAATGTTTCACTTGCTGCGGTTGATCATGTTACCAGGAGGGCATGTTGATCTTTTCAGGTCTGGGGAATGATTTGCTAGGAGCTCCTTAAATAAATTAAAAGTTGCAGATTCAGGAGCATTTCTATGCTTAACATGCTTTAACATCTGTCCTCAGATGGCTGGGGTGCAATGAGATTTGCAGTGCTGACAGTAAAGGCTGCCTAACAAAGGATGCACTGTCCAGTCTTTTTCTGTTGCATGGGAGTCGGTCCCCAGAAGCATTTGGGGATGTGACTGAAACATCAGGGGCTTGTCAGAGTTCAGGTACAGGGAGGCTGGGGGCTGAGCAATGCAGAGGGGGATAATTAAATGCCAGTGAAGGAGGTAAGGACAGCAAGGAACAGAAACTGATGAACAGTGACTGCAGATAGTCATTGTTCAGCCAGACTGCTCATTGGTTTGAGGGGGAAAAATGACAACAAGAAATAAGAGTTAACACAAAGCATTTTTCTTTCTTTTTTTTTCCATTCTTTTTTTTTTTTTTTTCCTTTTCTTCTTCCCCTCTCCCTCCCTTTCCTCAGATACTCTGGAGCAACATGTGGTCTGGCATTTGTGTTTGTGTATCCGTCCCTCATCTACGTGATCTCCCTGCATCGTGCTGGGCAGCTGACGTGGCCAGCATTGATCATTCACATCCTTATAATCCTCCTTGGACTGGCTAATCTGATTGCACAATTCCTATTGTGAAAACTCCCCCTTCTCCCTGTGGCTGTCACAAGTGGTACTGTGACATTTGGCAACAGCCTTGAGCAACACTGTCATGCATGAGAACGAACAGTCTTCAGTATGATCTTTTTGAGAAAAGCTGCACCTTTGAAACAAATTCAAAACACATCTTTCAAGCACTTGACAGGAAACCTGTCTTGCTCCTCTAAAAACACAATTTTATGAGAAATGAAATGGTTCAGATTTGAGTGACGTAGTTCTGGTTTTGTTGAACGTACATCAAAGATTAATGAAGCTCAAATATTTTAACTTTTTACAGCACACTTCTCAAAACACACAGCTTTTAGACTCGGACCTTAGAACTCCTCTTTCCTCCAGAGGAACTGTCCTTACCTTTTATTAACAAACATGCTTTCACAGTATTGTTCAGTGACTTTTTGAAATGCTTGTTTGATGCAGTTATTTCCCTGGAAAAGGGAGAAATGATTGTCTTTCCTTTTTTTTTTAGGTTAATTTATAGTAATTTGGGTCAAAATGCACGCTTAATTTTGAATATGCTATTAAATTGTTTTGGCAATATTTTTCCTCTAGGAAATTCCAACTAAGAGAAACAATAAACTCATGTCTCAGTGTTTTATTCAGAACCAATATGTACACAAGTTATTTGTGATCTTACAATGAAAAAAGTCAAAAGGAAAAAAAAATAGAATAAGACAATTAAAATTAGAATTCCAGGCTTGACCTCACTTCAACTCTGTTAACTGGGCTATTGTGTGCTGTGAAGTTGTGTTGTCAGGAGTTGCATGTGGTTTTATCGATGCATGTTGGATACAATGTTCAAGAGTCCCTTGCAGGGTCTTACTCTAGTGTTCTCTCACTATGCTCTTCCAGTACATTACTCTAAACATTTTGGATGTGAGCAGAGACACCAAGGTAGCACTCTTCGACATTGTGGACTAAAATAATGTAAGTTTTAGATAATTCCTAACAGAAGGTGGAAGAATCTGGGAAGGGTTTTGTTGTAGGGGTTTTTTTTAACTTCTTGTTCACTAAGAGGATGTACATGCATAAGCATACAGAAACCTTCCTTCACCTACCATCTGTGAGACTGTCTTAACCCAAAACACGCAATAATTAAGTTGCCAGATGCTAGTGGAATGTCATCTTTTGTGGTTGGAGAGAGAGTAAAAACTCCTCTTTGTACAGCATTTCAGTGTATTAAAATAATCAAAGAATGTAGAATAATTGAAAGAGGACTCTGAGAAATGCTAAATTCCAAAGTAAGTAAAAGAGGAAAAAAGTTGGAGTGATGCAATATTTCTGAAGTTAGGAGTTGAGTTGGTGAAGATAATTACATTGCAGGGTAAGAGTTCATATTTTCATCAGAAAGACAATGAAAAGCGTAACCTAGATAATCTGCCATGCTTGTCTGGGAAATTATGTGAATTTTTGTAGTAATGACGTAAATCCAGTATTTGAGTTAGGCTCTTCAAACTGTGTAAAGCACACTGACTTGTATAAATGTCCTTTGTTTTGTATGAAATACAAGATCATACAGGTTTGGAATATTATCTGAAGAATATAATTATCATTTCAGAGTCTCTCTTTTTTTCTTGTGAAAATTTTTGTGCCTTTAAATCAGAATTGTAGAAGGCATCCATCATCTGTTCTGCATTAGAGAGAAGTATTTGCCCCATCCTTGTTGTTTTCCTTGTGTATACTCTTATATTCCACATCTTGGTTTCCTAATTCTCTCGGGTATGTCTGCACCCTTTTCACTACCTGACAGTGAGCGTATCTTGCAGTGCTGACACCATTAGCACTGGCCAACACATCTGCTTTTTAGGAATTGAGTCTGACCTCTCCCATAAAATACTTCCTTGAATGTCTAGGTAGTCATCACTGTATGTAACTTGATGGCTACATTCCCTCAACGTTCTCAGCAGTGTATTTCACCAATTAAACCTGGTTTTGGTTTGTTTGAGGTTTTTTGTGGTTTGTTTGGTTTGTTTTTTTTTTTTTTTTACTTTCCAACAAACTTCCTCTTCTTCCCAACAAATTTTACAAATTTACAGTTCCCCAACTGTAGTGTGTTGCTAAATGCTCCACAGTTATTTGATACAGAAGTACTTGAACACCAAAAGGAAAGGATAAAAGATGCAGGATATCAAGCTTCATTGGCTCATTCACATTTATTATAGATTATTTATTTATTATAGATTCAGTGCTTAATTTAGGTACAAACCCTGTTGAGTGCAGGTACTTCAGTTTAATTATGGCCTCCCATGTTCCATCTGGATATGATTCCATAAATTAAGTCCTTGCCATTGAAGCAGATAGTAAAATGCCCATTGATTTTAGCAGAATTAAATTCAGTTAGGATCTAGTAGCTCAACAAAAATTCTCAAGTGAGACAGAGTTCACAGTGAAATGTCTTAACTGCATTTTATATCTGTTTGTCTCTTTTCCAGTTGTGCAATGTACAATGATCTGAGTTAATATTTAGAAGGAAATTATACTGTACCTTTCTAAAAGCCTGTTTTAGCTCTGGGTTACGGAGGTAGGTTCTTGCTGCACTGTTTATTTATACAGGTCTTTAATAGCTTTGAACTATAAATTGATAAGTAAGTGATAACAAATATTTCATTACACTGTCATCACCCAAAGTACATTTTCTTATAAGTATTTTTTTTATTTTACTACATGCAGTTGAGATATTCACAAGTGTCAGAAGTAAGTTAGGAGTGTGTAAGTAGAGTGGCATTTTCAGGGTTTTTTTCTTTGTCAACAGTTCACATCCTAAGTTAAGTAATATTTTAAAATTAAATGGCAATTTAAATGGTCTAAAAGACCAGAAGTAGATTGCAGTGTCTGTTTTCATGCAAGTACAAAATGTAGTTCTCCACAAATGCACACTTCATCTTGCTTGCTCATGCGACCTGCAGTGATGGCCAGCTAACTCTAATTCCTTGTGTTCTCCGTTTCAGCAAATCATCAGGTGATTTAGTGGAGCAGAAAAAGTAATATCTGGGCCTGATGGTGTATTGCAAAATGTTGTTTATTACCTTCTCATAGAAGAAAAATAATTTCTACTGGAAATGCTGAATTCTGTCTTTACATTTGAGCTTTGCTGCAGTAAGCTGTGAGGTGAAATACTGTCAGCTCTGGGCATTGGGTAGGAGTCTTAAGGTTTTCTTGACAACAGTACCAGACTCTTTGTTGGCACCAGCCCTACCTCATTGCACTCTGAACATCCAGCCCTCCGTGTTATGTGGTAACTCTGTGATGCAAACTGAAGTTTTCATTGCATGAGGCTCAAGCAGCTGTAGTCATCTGTGCTGATACCATCAAGCTAAAATCTAGATCTCAAGATATGTATGGCATTAACCCAGCATGACCTTTAGACATTGCCAAAGCATCAGTAGCCAGGGAAATTCCCAGGAAGCTCCAAGAGCAGTTGTGGACATGCCTGTGTGGTGAAGTTGTGGACGTGTCTGTGGGTGATTACACACAGTCTGAACACCAAAAACAAGGGATTAGTTTTTCAGTGGGAGCTTTGTGATGAACAAAAGTAGTTGTACTTTCTAAGGACAAGGACAGATGATGGGACTTTTATGTCTGCCTTCTGCCATGGCGAGAGAAAGAATTACTTTCTCCATAACCATGCTTGTACTAACCTCATTGCCTCCTCTGTAATTGCCTAGCATCAGCTGTTCCAGTTTCTTAATGTTATCGTGGCCCAGATTCTTCCTGTCAGCTTCTAGCAGTCATCAGAATCTCTTCTGTGCTTATTAGCTTTCAGTTTCCCCTTGTTCTTCCAGTCACTCACAGCTGCATCTGTTCCTACGAATCAGTTTTTCCTGTTCTGTCTGAATTAATAATATGATGTTAATCTATTAAATCCTGTAGCTCAAATGATCTTCACAGTAAAAATGAGCATTCAGGATTCAAATGTTGCATCATTTAAATGGACAGGCTCAGGGAGGACATTTTATGTACCATTTCCTTTTTTCTTAAAAGTTCAACCTTTTGAACTCCACATACAAAATCATGTAAAGATAATGATATTTGGTTGCAATGCTGAACACTTTGTTGGATTGACAATTTGTCCACTCAACCACTCAGCAGCCCTCTCCTCCACCAGGTTTGCACACAGCAGTTGGTTTTTGATTACGTGGTCACTTAACTTTTTTTTCCATAGGGTGTCAGCTTGACAGTGCAAAGGTTGTAACAGTAATTGGTTCCCTATCGTTGTGCAGACCTGGCACCTTCTAACTTTGAGTGCTGGACTTTGGGGAAATGTTAATTAATAAACAAGAATGTGCAGTCAGCCCTAAGGTTGCTTAAAACTCCTTTGTGGCCCGTGTCCGTGAACATCTGTCCAGCATGGCATAATAGCAGAAAGCAGAGAGGCAGCAACGGTATAACTGAATGCTGGAGCTACCACAGGAAAGAGGAGAGACTTCCTGGAGTAACTGAAATGGTTGAATTTCTGATAGACAGTCTGCATTCTGGGAAGTCCAGAGACTCCTCTGTACGTACAGCTAGACTGATACTGCGATGGCTGTGTTCTGCAGCGAAGTGGCAGTGATGGAAGTGAGAGATAGGGCAGCCTCTGGAAAACATATTTTTGCGTTTCAGGATGTTCTGCTCCAGAGGACAACTGCAGTAAACATCTGTCATGATTATAATGGAGATGAAGGCACCTGAGGAAAAATAATAAGGGGAAAAGGATTAGGGCTTGGTAATAGCTTGTACCAGCAAAACAGTGTCCCCCTCACCTTCAGTTGGAAGCAGATATTCATTTCCATGGGCAGTTCATGAAATCTGGGGGCTCTGCAGTCATGAAAATGTTATTTTAGCAGAGCTCTCGGTAACTTCCTAATAGGAAGTAAAATATTAATGGTAGGCAAAGTGGTGATACGTCTGTTTTAGCTTATTGTACTGTGCTTGATGGGGGAGTGCAGTGTAAGCTTTTCCCTCTGAGTTGGTATTCTGTGAGGTTGGAGCCATGATCAGCATATGTAATTTCTTCTGCAGTTGAGAAACCATTAAACTTTTCTTGGAAAGGAACAGGACTCAACTTGCCAGATCCTCTCTACCTCTCACTCCTGTAATTTCAGATGGTGGAACCAGTGCTACATAACTGTTGCTCTGTGGTTTGTATTTCCAAA